CAATTCAGAGGGAGGGGTTTACATTTTACATTTTAGGGAAGGTTCCTGCCTTCCTTAGTAGACACCTGTCTTTCCAAACCTACACAGGGAGTGATATCAATCTCTACTTAATAACTGGTTTTGATTTAATACAGTTACTTTGAAATCACTTCCTAGTATATGAGATAATATGATATATGGTATATGATATGATATATAATATGTTACAGCTGTTATACCTAGGAGTAAATTTTTCTGATTAAGATAACATTGTCTAATCATTACCATAATAGATAATATATATCTACAGAAATATACAGGTTTGCCATCCTTAATCCTGTGGGACAAACTCTATAAAGGTTTCATTCCACCTTTATCATTCTTTACATACAAAATCTTGAAAAGTCTGGGACTGGGATTGCAACCAGCTGCTCCAAGGCTCCTCTCACAAGAAGCAGTTTAGAAAGCCTGGAGGTCCTTGCGGGTGTTAGGGGATCTGTGGGAACCATTGGGGGTCCAATTTACTGCCCAGTTAACAGAAGATAACTGCCCTACCTGTGACAGATGGCAAATACAATACACACATTATCTTTCAATCCAGAACAAGAGGATTTCAAATTAATTGAATGTAACTTAACATTGCTCAGATCTAACAATAATGAAGTTTAACTTTACTTAATCTTATCAACCCTGAGTTTACATTAAATTAAACATCACAGAATCAAAAATTAATATCCTTAAAAGTTATAGATGCAGCAAAATTTAATTGATTCTGATGCAATTAATAAAAAAAAGGGCACTGAAAAGTTGAACAATCTGTGATTGAAATAACAGCATGAAGGATTTACTGGAGGGATTAAAAGGATGTAATGTGTGTCATGATTTTATGTAATTTAGTTTTGGAAGAAGATCATGGTAGCCACAAATTTTATGCAAGCATAAATTTACTATGACTTTTTAAAGTGCAGTTTTATTGAAAGAAACAACAATGTGCAATTTGGCAAACTGCCCAGCAAACCAGCAAATTCTTGAAATTGTATTTAGTGTCATTCCAGATGGTCAATTTACCAGCATTGCTGTTAAAGAACCTCCGGCAAGCGCCATGGTGGGGGGGCCTGGAGGAGCCGCGCCGGGGGCTCGGGGGAACCGCGCCGGGAGCAGCCGAGCCACGCACCCCAAACCACCCGCGGTTCCCCCTCCTGCCCCAGAGGCTGTGAATGTGCCTCCGTGACAGAGGGAAGGGGAAGGAGATCCCCCAGTGCATCCCCGGCAGGACGGCGTTGGCAATGGGGTTGTCCTGCAGCAGGGGGCCATGCTGGGCTGGGAGATGGAGCAGGAGAGAGGGGGAAAGGGGCCCTGACTTCCTCCTCACCTGCCTGAGGGTCCCGGGACATCTTTCTCTTCCTTGCAACCTTATCTTCCATTGGGCCAAGGTTTGGGAATGGGAAATCCTGGTTTGGGGAAAAACAAGGGATGAGCACAGTGAGTCTGAAGGTCCTCTGCCCAAGTCCCTCTCTAGAAGTCACCTGGTGTCCATAAACACCTTGAAAAAGCAAAAGTGAATCAAAAAAAGCCACCAGGAGTGTCCCATTTCCAGTCTCATCCCTCTGGGGTTCTGGTGGTCCCCTGTCTCATGGTTGCCAAGGATCCCACAGCTCCTGGGGATCCCACCTCTCCAAGGTCCTGTTTAGGGATGTTGGGGGGTTTTGGGGTCCCAGGGTCCCCGTCTCCAGCCACCCCCAATCCAGGCACTTGGGGCTCCCTCCTCTCCCCACTGCCCTGTCCTGGTTTAGGGCAAATTTGGTAGAAAACATCCAAAAGGGGTTTCCTCTAGAAATCAAATTCAAGCGGCTCCTTCCCCAACCAGTTTGGAAAAAGATTTCCTTGGAGAAAAGTGGAAAAAACCTGGTTATTTAACAGGTAAAACATTCACGAGCACAGCAAATGACCACTATTAAACAATAAAACCTCTTGCCACTCCAAAAGAGATGACAAACTCAGAAAGTCCTTCTGTGGGCTGTAGCTCTCCTCACTCAATCTCTTATCAAACTTTTATCAGTCTCTTATCAGTCTCTTATAGGTTGCTCCAGCACTGGAAATGCCGTGGACCAGGCTCAGCCCAATGGGCCACAGGTGTGAGTTACAGGTGCTCTTCTGGGTGTTCAGTCCAGACAGGTTTAAACAGCTCCAAAGTAAAAAGAAAAATCACAGTCCAGGGAACTTATCTGCCTCAGAGAGCTAAAATCTAACTAAAAGCAAAGGAGAGCCCTGTCCTGACATCTGTCTGTCCAGGAGCCGGAATGTGGAGGAGTAAGTGCAGTTTTTAAAACAAACTGCTCGCTTCTTCTGCCCTCCCTTTGCTCTCAGAACCAGCCCTAAAGGTGCAGAACTCATTTCTGGGCTAAACAGATGAATGGGGGTATGAGCATGATCCCAGGTTCAGCCCTTCTGGGGGTTTGGGGGTGTCTCTGTCCCTCTGAGCTCGATGATGTTTGGGAGGGGTCATGAGCATCCCCTGGGCTGAGAGGGACAGAGACTGCCCCAAGCACCCTCTGGCACAGGGGTGAGAGGGAGGGAGACCCCCCAAGGCATTCCCTGGGGTGAGAATGATGGAAACACCCTGGGGAATGGCCTGGGGTGACAGGGACAGGGACGAAATTCCCCCAAGCCCCTCCCAAGCATTCCCCATGGTGAGAGGCACAGAGACCCCTTGAGCATCCCCTGGACACTGGACAAAATATACTTGGCAGAAATCAAAGTTAACAATACATTAAATGCCTTGAGGAATATTTGCTCTTCCCACAAGTCACATGTGATGAAAACGCAAACAAATCCCAAACATTAATAAACTGACAATAGAAGCAATTCTGTGGTAAATCCAAGTCTCATTGGCTCCTGCACAGCTCCAGCTCAGTTGCTGGAAGGTTTAGAAAAAAGAAAAGTGGAAATTTGGCCCAATACAGATTATTAAAAGGAAGGGAAACCTCTGTGGATCGGTCACAAAGGTGACAGGGACATAGAGAATAATGATTCCGACATCTGGCATAGCCTCCAAGCCTGTGAATTTGGCGTTATTTGGGAATTAAGCTCCTTGAGCTGGGCTTCTTGTAGGACTTCTAGAAGACTTGTGTTCCTCACCGTGGGGTGAATGAACCTTGTTAGTTTCCCTAGTATCATTTGCTCCCTTTCCTCCAGTGATTTGAACAAACTTTTCAAGGAAGGACTACAAAACATTTTTCTTAACACTGGTCACCCACAACAGCCATTTTCCTCACCAGTTCTCCCATAAGTCCCTCAGAGGAAGCTGCGTCCAAGTTTCCAAGAGTTCCTCCAGAAAAAGCCACAACATCCTCAGAGAAAGGAACAATGCTGTTGTCAAAGGCATCTGGGGTCAGACAACAGTGCCTACACTCACTGTGCCAAAAAACTCACATTCTGGTTAAGAAAATTGTTAGAGAAATGCCACTACACCAATTATGGTGCTAACAAGACCAGATACAAAGTGGATTTTATTGAACAGTAAATGTGAGGTAGAGAGAGAGATGGAAAGAAAGAGAAAAAGGGGGGGACAACAAGGGAGTGACAGGGACAGAGACCTCCCCTGGGGCAGGGCAAGTGTGACATTGTCCCCTGTGTGTGTGGCCTTCCTGGGGTGGGGGTTTTACACCTGAGCCAGTTTGGGTAAGGGGGGTGGTGTTCACCCCCCAAGCAGAGATTACCCCACTGTTTCAGGTTACAGTGTAAGATGTAACCAAAAGCATGTTTTCCATCCCCATCTCCATGAACTGTTCTAAACAGGCGGGGCAGTGTTCTTTATCTCTGCCATGACTCAGCCCTGATAACGCCCTGCAGGGGCTCTCTTCTGTTCATGGGCCATTGAGTGTCCCTGCAGGACTGATAAAATGACATCATCCCATTGTGGGATGCTCCGCCCAGGGGGAGGAGCCAAGAATTCCTACCTGGATAT